TATATAGAGAGAGAGAAGAGATAGAGGAGATATAGATAGAGGAGAGAGGATGAGAGAGAGAGAGAGATGAGAGAGAGATAGAGATTTATATATATATATATATATATATATATATATAGCATAAGCATATTCATTAACGAACTCTCTCCGGCCTTAAACAGACAGACAAATTCTTGCAGAACTCTTGAGCTACTAGGTGGTGGGCGGTGAGCATTTCTGATGTAATTGTGACAATAGTGTTCCCATTGTGTCTTTGTGATGTTCCCATTATGAGTGTTTCTTACATGTATGAAGATGAAAATAGCAATCCGTCTTACTTCAGTTAGTTATGCTTCATTTATGTTCTCCGTACCAAAAGATGTTTTCCAACAGTAGTGCATAATTTTTCATCCTTTAAAACAAAAACTATATATATATATATATATATATATATATATATACAAATCAGAAAGCGACATGAGAGCACTGAAAGTATCAAGTGAGATTGACTTGACCAAGCATAAGGTCTTTTATCGCTCTTTTACGCTTCATATTCAATTGAATGATCAATATCGTTCATTGTGCTTCCCGGCTCACAGGATAACACTAACTACACCAACTCTTCATGCGTCGACCAGGTGGATCTCAGCCGTTCCAAGGTTGTGATTCATTAGTGTATCAATGGAATATATTACACCCATAGATGTATGCTAAAGCCAGTTCCAGTGACCGTCTCTGAGTGGTTCAGACGCCCGACTCCAGAACGTTGGCAGGCGCGTGGGTCTGAGTCCCAGAGGCGGCTGACTGACCTGGCAGGTACCACGTGGCAGGAAGCGAGAAGCGAGAAGCGGCCATATAGCCGGTTATCCACGTCTGCATGGCTGCCCTTGTCGGGGGATTATATGGCGAGTAAAGCAATTTCCCCAGACAGGCGTAAGCAAAATCGTCCGTTGCACTGGCCATGACAGCGTCTCAGTTATCTCCACAAATCGTTTGGAAAAAACCTCAAACGGAACATTCCATTGCATTTTCGAAAAGCTGTCGTTTTTTGCGATTCATCACAAGCTTCAGTCAGAGGCAATAATGAAAGGCTCCCACGCCTTGTAAGTGCTTTCAACAAAGTTGGTCTTCAGCAAGTTTACTGGTGTGTGACTAATTGACTTCGTCGTCTGTCGCAGTCTACTCGTTGGCAAAAGGCGCAGAATCGAGAATCGTAACAGCTAGACAAGCACGTTGCACGCGCTTTGGGACATTTCCCGCGCATGGTGCTGAACCGCTCCGCCCTTCCCGGCACAGGACCAGTCGAGTCATTCTATCTGAAATAGGGACTGCTCACACACGGCTTCCGCTTACTCATGGCTTAGCGGTCGCCGTTGTTGGCCGTGGCGAGTCGGTAACCTGTTCAACATTTGCTGTTGAATGAATCACCAACCTTAACAGCTGAAAACTAGATGGTCAACGCATGGGGAGCTAGTGCAAATGGTTTTGTGATGGAAACACAGCCAAAATACTGATGATTTAATCGAACGCCAAGCCCAATATGCCTTTGCATACATAACCTACGTAAAAACTAGTGTCCAATGTTCTGGTGTTTCATGAAATGCCCCAAAAGTGATGTGTACCCATTAGGCTAGTAGTGCAATAATGGGGCTTACCAATAACAAAAAAACGCCCGGTATCTCGTGGGAATTTTAGGTAACGCTTAAAACTCCAGCCAGATACCGTGATCATGGTCATTTCACGAATGCTTCATGCAACGCTGACAAAACGTGAAACACTTCGTTCTTCCTGACTTGCTGGATCACTCCAAACGACCACGACAGATATGCCACGAAAACATGTGTTTGTACAAATGCAAACTGTATTGTTACGCATAACAACGCACGCATCCGAGGCAGACTGCGACAGGGGCACATCGCGATGCGTGGACGGACGCGAGCACCAACAAATTATTTAGTTACGCGCAGCTGTAAAACGCCGACAGTAAGCGGCACACAACCGCGGCCCGTGGAGTTTCCGTGTCCGTGTGGAGTTGTGGTGCCCCTGAGAGTTGCGCACCCTGTACACCAGTCACCGTTACGGCGACGTCGCCTCCTTCGTCCTAGAGATCAGCTGTTGCGTGTGTCCCTCAGGAAGCTTCTCGAAACTACCAGGACAGTTCTTCTCGCACCTACTCCCAGAGATACGGTAACTACGTGCGGCACCACGGCTACAGTATGGGCTTCCACAGGCCATCCTTCACCACTCTGATGATGGCTGGCGGCGCGTATGCCCTCTACCGCCATTACAGCAACAAGAAGAAACTCGGCAAGGTCTATGGGTGAGTGGCTAGCAATGGTATGGCCTGTTTATGGAAGCATTCCAATCGCACTGCGTGGACATTGTAACTGGCCTTGCCATCACCGTTCCCATCATTGTTTTGATGCTGCTTAACTCCCAAACCAGCGTCACTAGATACGATCAATTACAAAGTACGATTGATTTCTAGACGCAGGCAATTGCTTGCTCCGAACGACAGGGCAGGTCAGCTAGCAGTTTGTTAAAGAGCCGAGTAATTTGACCTGACTTGACCGATTTGACTTGACTGAGGCTGTCGGCTTGGCACGAAGAAAATCCCTACACTATTGTCAGGCTAAACCGTTCGGAACCAAAACCTTCTGACGGACGAAAAGAGCACATTTGGGTTGCAGGTTCACGAAGCATATAACCGGCTTTTCTGGGAATGCACCGAACAAATTTAGTTCCACTAAAGCTATTTGTAACGCATCTTATATCGGAGCACGTGTCCGACAGATATCCTGGCTACGGTGGCTACGGCAGTTCGTTTGGCGCCCTCGGGGGTGGCGGCTTCGGTGCCCTGGGAAATCCTCGCGGCAAATACACCAACTTCAACACCGTGGGAGCAGCGCCGGCGTACGGAAACTACGGCTACAACAACTACAACAACTACAACAGCTTTGGCCGGCCCGGCTCGCAAGTGCCCTCCTATCCGATCACCCACAAGCCGAACTACGCGACGAGCAAGCCGGACTTCGTGAACCGCAATCGGAATCCCAGCTACCCGGTCACTAAAAAACCGTACAGGACGAGCAGCGGCTCCAGAAGCACCAGCAGTCGGTCCGGGAGCAGTTCTCGCAGTTCTCGCAGAAGTAGCTCCAGCCGCCGCTCTTGGGGAAGGTAAGCTGTTTGGATGGGACGCTCGCCTCAATGCCCCCCCCCCAAAAAAAAAAAATTGAGCTTAAAAGATATTCAGGTTTTTGTGTCAATGTGTCCTTATGCATAATGACAGTCATGTTGGGCACCTTGTTCACTATTGCAGTCGTGACCATCATGAGAAGTATATCAAAGTCAGGCCTTTCAGAATATCTTATCCATAGATTTTTTGGTGTAATTTAGATCAACTCATTTAGTCTCGATGCCTCATTCTATCTACGTGATCAGGCCTTGCGGGTACGGTTGTACCCATCCCCTCCGAAGAATGTCCGGTCTTTGAGTTTAAAATTGTGGTCTGGGTCGGATGACGATAGACGTTTAAGGTGAGTGTTCCACATTTGTATGGGGTTTTGAACTAAAATAGCTATCTTGAAGACCTTTCGGTGCTGCGCAAAATCCTGCCCTTCTTAAGACCTAAGCCCTTTAGTTTCTGAGCTACATGCCCGCGAAAATGGGAAAAGGTATATCTGGGAGAGTATTTCAAAGTCATCTTGGCGTTCATGACGTCATAATATCATTTAAATCCTGCCACAGAGGCGAAAAGAGCTTCTGGTTTACGGATATGATCGGTGACAAAAACTGGCGCTTCTGCGAACCAATTGGTAACAAAGTTGCGAAACCGAAAACAAATTTCATTACACAAGACCATACTACAAAAGATTATTCCATCTCAACGAATCTCCAAGCTTAGTATTGGTCCGCAATTGCTAACGCTTGCCGCGTGAGCACATGTCGAAACGTTGACGTTTAGCTGTGTGAGCAAATTGAACCATCAAATACTGCCAAACATAGTAGCTTTAATCAGGACAGTTCTTAGCAGGTGACAGGAACATACTACAAATTATGCTATACCAGTTCTGACGTCACATATTAGTGGTGACCCCGTGCTTTCCAATACCGCTCAGATCAGCGTTTTTCACATATTTTTCAGCCAAGGTTCACTTCACGTGCTCACTAGTCGCTAGCAAGGCTATGGGCTGATGTTGGTTGTGTTCATGTGGCGAGAAGCTGACTGGCAAGAAGAACGTAACTAATCATCAGCTTTTCTTAGGTAATAGCGCTAAAAAGCCCTGCTGATCTAGGACTGTTAGTGGATATCTGAGCTGTAGCTTCAGAGGTAAGCGAAGGTCGTTGGGGCGACACATGTCAAGGGTTCATCCAGGGCTTCCCGTGCTGAGAGGAGCAGTAGCTTTGAGTTGAGAGACCTGGTGTCGCTGGTGTAGGCGTCTCATATTGCTCATTGCATCTCAGACTTAGCGCGATGATCGGTGGACAGGCATGAAATACAACAATTTTAGTTGTCATCATGTTGCATATAAAGCTTAATGAAGGTGCTAGAGGCTGTCACAAATGTCGTCTGCATCTGCTGATGTTAACGTTGTGAGGGGTTTGCTCTAAATAATTCGGATCGTGTTAGGATGTGCGAGTTCTGCACCGGCAGTGGTTATGCGAAGATGATGAAGGTCGCCAACACTTTCAGCTGATTGTACGATGACGTCATGGAAACAAAAGTGATCTTGTTTCAGGTGCTTGTCGCACCATGCTGTCGGTAAATGTAGGGTCACAGGGACGCGGTGTTGCAAAATACGCGGGGGCGAGCGATGGAAGTGGAAGGGGGAGGGTGCATGGAGAAAAAGTGGCTGAGCCGGCCTCCAAAATGATCTTGAAACAGTTTCTCCCCAGATTTGACGCAATTTTTCACAGCTGGGAGCAGGGGTGCAGTTCCCTCAAACCGTTTTTGGGGGCTGAACTCCCAAATCATGATGAATAAAAATATTGGCTAGAGATTACAACTTAAATAGAAAACTGTATGCCTGATTTTGAGGCACAATCCCGCCCCTCCCCCCCCCCCCCCCCAACTGAATAGGAAACTATATGCCTTTAGGCTGGGCTGGTTATATTAAGTGCGCCTTCATCTGATAATTCTGTTAGGTTGATCTCAACCTTCATGCAGTGTTTGATAGTCAGCAAATGAAACTTTAATGCAAATGAAACCCCGAAACGAAAATGTTTGGTGGTAATGCCGCATTGCATTCAATTCTTCGTTCCTTTTTGTTGTTAATTGCATCTAGGGATATGTTGCACCGTTTTCTGAGAGGTTTGACCCCAGGTGACAATTCAGACGGTTCCAAATTTCATCGGTGACAAAACAGGTACTTTTCCACCCAAAAAGGTACTTTTTCACCCTGTCCCGCTATTCCATAAGCCTTGTGGTGGTCAAGGCCAAGAAAAATAGCGTTGTCGATGCGTCCATATTTGTCTTTCATGAGCGCGATTTGCAGCTATTACGGTCGTCAACTGGCTCTCAATCAATCTTGTGCAAGGAACTATGACGAAATCAAACCATGATGCATTGAGTAGCATATTTACCACACAGAAAATTGTGCTGTTTAGAGAAGTCTTTTCCACTTAAAAATTATACCAATGCTTACAGGTTAACTTGTTTCGTCATGTCTGATGCTTGCTTCACCATCTTCAAATGTGAATCATTCCCTCTCAGATGAAACGGATAAACATCCGGAAGATAAACGTTTAGCTTCATTAGAGCGGGTGTACGGAGGAAATTGCCAACAAACTGCCAGAGGGTGCGCTATCGAGGCAATCGAAGCAAATAAAATGGGGAGAAATCAAACTCTTGTTGGCAAAATTGCAAAATGGCCTAAGAAGCCGACGTGATGCGCAATACTAATCATCATCTGATCCTAGAAATGAAAGCTTGTTATATTCCCTTACAATGTCCGAACACACTTCCTGATCCCAAAAACGGGAGCGCGCGGTACCCAAGGAAGTTACTTTCAGCGAACTTGTAGGATGCCAAACGATATTTCTGGTAATGAAATCATCATATCATTTTGCGTGAGGCTGTTTTCAAAGCTATGTGTATATAGCTTTGATATTATTTGATAACGCTATATGGACAGAAAGTCATGCAGCTTGTGATTTTCCCTTCAGCTGCGAACGCATTCGCCTTGATGTCAAAATTTCGTCAAGCAGCACGGCGCGCTGATGTTTTCTCCCTGCGATTTCTCAATGAAAGTGTCTGTGCATCCAAACGGCTTTTAGAATGCTTGAATCAATAGCCCAATGCCTCAGCATTGACTTACCGATAACTCATCACAACAGTGCCTTCGTCCAGTTCTTATAGGTTAACCGACAATTTTGAGCGTTGACCCGAGATTCATCGGTCGGCATTGAGAGCACGTTAGCTCAGGTCTGGGGCCGTCTGTCGGAGCCGGCCGTCGACAGCTCAGGTCTGGGGCCGTCTGTCGTAGCCGGCCGTCGACAGCTCAGGTTTGAAGCCGTCTGTCGGAGCCGGCTGTCGACAGCTCAGGTCTGGCGCCGTCTGTCGGGGTCGGCCGTCGACAGCGGCCGATCCGTGGTGACAGCGCTGCCCCTCCTCTGCCGCCAGGTCCTCCCGCTCGCGGTTCGGTGGCAGGGGCGGTGGCAGGAAGGGCTGACGCGGCGGTCGGTGGCGCCGGCGCGCGCGGCCGTCCCAGTACGAGGCCGACGTCGACCCTCGCACCGTAGCCGAGGCCGATTCCGGCCGGTCACCGGGCCGGACCCGGCGGCTCGCACTTGGCACGTGTCGTCCCGCCGCGGTCAGATCGGCCCCGCTGGCCGATGACCTACGGAATCTTACCGGATAGCCTATACAGCCCAGAGTCGCGAGCATTAGCTGCATGCCAGCTGCGCGCGTCCTGACGACGTTTAGCTCCTGATACCTTGAGACATCGGTCGTAAGATGCTTGTATATTCTTCCACATACAGCCAGGAAGTTAATACTAATGCACGCCAGTATCATACATAAGCTTTTTGTTCTCGTGGCCACACTCTTTCACAATGCGTTGACGACAGTCTTTTTTCGAAAGTGATAGCAGCCTCACTAAATATCAATGTTGGTGGTCGGAGAGGCAACCTAGAGATGGCTCACGGAAGACAGGCCGGCCTAAAACGTATCCTGTGTAGGTGTTCTTGAGACGCATTTATTGTAAACCAGTACATGGAGAAATGTACTTGTAGTCCATGAAACCGTGTTACGCATTAACTGTTTTTTTTTGTTTGTTTTTTTGGTGGTGGCAATACAAAACTAAACAGTCAATACAACGATTCTATTCAGCGTCCAGATAACGGGGCAACGGAGCGCAGAACTGTTATGTTCGTTATGCAAGGACTATCATCGAAACGGTGATAATCAGAGCAACTCGTCGGAACGGATACGGAAGCCTTTTGCCCAGAGGCTGGCGGGCTGCCGAACACTCGTAAATATGGACGCGAATCAATGCAGAGCAAAATCGCATGAGCAAATTCCCTTGCTTCACCAAGACGCATAACTTCGCACCCCTGCTCCTTCACGGCTCCCCAGCTACATGGTTCCCTGGAAAGCCATGAGGTTATGGTGCTGTCCCACTCCTCCCATTTTTTTTTTTTTTTTTTTTGTAGATGCACCACTACATTTGGACTCACTTCATTAAGCAACAGAGCTGGCTCCTTGGCAACGCGCGAGAAAACCTGCTGTGTTCGACGGGTGATTTGTGTTCCAGTATTTCTGGATGCATTCAACATCATTCATGGCACTTTCTGTTGGATCCAACTTCTGACCGCCAGGATACAAGGCGGGAGCCGTGTGCGTGCTGACTACGAGGGACGTACCCTATTGCAGGGAAGTATTGCAAATCCTTGAAGATTGCAAAGCCTCTTAGATGTCTGAAGAAGCAATCTCAAAACAATGTAAATGACATTCGTTAGAACTTGGGATAAATGCAGCCATAGCGTGTACCGATTATACCACTCAGTCATAAGAAGAAGGTCGTGAGCCACAACCAAAACAGAAAATATATGATGCTTGAGCATCGTTAGAGGTATTGTGCTGTAAGTAGTCATCAATCTGCTCACTGAGACGAAATCAGCGATACTCCAGCTGTCAAGTGTTTCGCTCTAAATATCGCCGCCGCAGCAGGCGTATTGTAAGGCATTCCAAAAGCTACAAGAAAACCATTCTTACTGCCACTGTCAATGTCAGTGTCAGGTCTCGGTAATTTTGACACTGCCACTTGGTTCAACGTGTTAGCGTGTCACATGTGTCAACGCTCCCGCAATATATCAATGTTATCGCACTGTTGACTCCAAAACACACGCAGTGAGGCCAGTTGCCGCACTGTTCTGCTGTGACAGTGCGCTTTGCTGAAAATTACTGCAATTCATAATCGCTCTTGTGGCGTCCATCGAAAATTGTTCGTGACTCGCTATGTGTGGTTTCTCTAAAAATCTGAAAGTGAGGGCTCAAGTAATCCATTCGGTCGTCACTGTGGCTTACATTTCCCGTTGCAACGAATAACAAATACGGGCAGGCGGCCAGACCGCCGAACCGGCCCGTGCGCTCCCGTGTTTTTCTCCAACTTAAACTTTTCGCCGACGCCGGTTGACCGGTCGACCGAGGACATCTTGACAATCATACGGTGTGGAATTGCGGCCCTTCAGGTAAAGATGATGTTGGGATGGGGTAGTGTACAGGATGATGAGCCAGTGGGTGTTAACAACGTGTAATGAATCAGTGCGTGTGATGGTGTGCATTTCACCCCGACCCTGGCTGCAGTTTAGGCGACAGCGGGCTGTACTCGGCATAGTTTTTTGAAATACTGATATTTCCGGCTTGCCCGATTACTGGCGAAACTATGCATCGCACGAACTCGTATTGCTCACGTGAACTGCAGACGGTGCATTGGTTGACAGTTTGAAACTGGATTTGTGCCTTTACCCTCCCTGGCTACGGGCATATGGTATAAAACGTAAAAAAACACAAAAACGGGCAAGTCCACAATGACTGCCACTGCGCACGTAACAGGTGCCACGTGCGACCGTGCGGCTAGTACCAGGCAATTTCCCATCCAATTGTCTACCAAGATATGCCAGTTTCTCGTCCGTGCGACCCGTGGTTACCGAGATGTGAGTACGGTTTCGGACGGCTGCTCGATGGCCTTGCGCGGTTAATCTTCCCCGCCGCTCGGGCAACGCAGATGGGAAAGCATCGCATCTTGCAGCGCGCGTCCCGCGCTGCCCGCCGGGCGCATCTCGCCACTCAACACTCTACGTCGTCCCGTGCACGCCCGCATCAGTAACGGGTAGTGGAAACACAGACGGACGGACAGACACACAGACGCACCCAGGTAAGGCGTATACAGACAAGAGTGACCAACCCGCTTCACTGGGGGACTATCGCTGGGATTTTGAGGTGTGCCGACAATTATGTTGGCACTTTTCCATCCCAATCTACTGTTTCATGCTGTTGCTCGGTAGGTCACAAGCGTGGGACAAAAAATGCAGCCTCCACATAACGTATGCTGTGGAAGTAGAGGCACAAGCTTTCAGACACAATGGACCTTAAAGTCTAAAGGCTGCCGCGACAACCGAAACCTTTTGTTTTTGAGTTCAAATTAACTATTAAAACATTGATGACCACATGGTCTGCCCGGGTTAATTACTGAGTGCCTGCATTTGTTTGCGAAACTAATCAGGTGGGACCCGTCGTCTGGTCAAAGACCACTGTAACAAAAGAGGCGAGCGACAGTGAAAATTACAGAAATATTTTTAGACATTCTCGTCATCGCTTATGTAATTTCAAGACCCAGCGATTATTGAGGTTCGAAATATTTGCCACGAATCGGGGGAATAGTGACGGACCTAGGACGATAGGGACCATCGGGTGCGTTGGGTATGACATTGGTAACTCACCCTGCAAGCCAATCGCTCCACATGGCACCATGGGGCAAATAAGTGGGCTTCGACAAAGCGAGGGCAATGACCGTTGACCACCCTTTCCGCCACGTTCATACCATAGTACGCCAGTTGTCTCGCAAATTTTAAGACACCATGCCGCTATTCAGAGTAACGCCATAAGCCGATGGAATAGTTTTATGTTGAGCATGTATTGAGCGCCGACATAGCTTCCATGACTAAAATATCAAAAAGTTGGGCACTTGTCTCTGGTTTGGGGGGAAATGCGACGCAAGATGGATTAGAAGGGACTTTGGATTGCCTGATATAAGAGTGGCCATGGAAATGGCAGTGACAATAAGCGGCGTGATGAATGGCTGCGTTGCTCAGTAAATTAATGGCGTTGAATTAATCGTGACACATGGCAGCAGAAACAAAGCGACTCGTGTCTCGATGATGGACGTTGTCAGCACACGTAAGAGCTGAATGGCATTCATGTCAGTACAAGTAGCTGTGAAAGAAATACCTTTTCCATAAAAATAACATTTAGGCAACAATTAAAATGAAACAGGAATAGGTTGCAATGAGATGGAAATGAAAAGAAGCACCCAAATCACGGGTAAGACAAATGGTTATACCAAAGCGGGCGCTACACATCCATATACCATATTATAGGTAGTTCGTTAGAGTGAAGTTAAATTAGGAAATAGAGGTAAAAAGAAAGACAAAGTCAAGACTTTCCCGTCAGCCCTCGCATCGAACTCTCCGTCAGCACGGATGACGTCACACATTCCAGCAGATAGTCGCGCTGACGACAGATCGAACACGGTTGTCCACGGTTGTCGATTTGTTTTCGTTTGGGTGGGCCACTGGCCCCTCACTCTTAATGTCCGATCCCCCCCCCCCCCCCCAACGGTGAGTTTGACCCCCAACCTTCTACAACCGAAGTACAAGCAGGGCAGTACAGGCGGGAAATCAAAGGTATGATAGCTAACTGAGCTAGTTACGCTGTGAAAGCTCCGCGTTCGTACCGTGTTTACTTGAGTGTTTTCTGCTTTTCTTGCATGATGCATACTTTTGATTACACGATAAATATGTCTTGTTGACTCTCACATCGTGTTATGCTATTGTTCGAGTGTTGCGTATTATTCCATGATGCTTAAACATTCGCAGACTGCAGCGAGCTGCGTTATTTCGCCACGATAAGATACGATGTCTTATCGGAAATTGAAAACAAATCGGCTCAATGCTGGCTCCCAGAAACGTGAACAAGTTTTTAGGCGGCAACGTTCGAAAACACCCTTGAAATGTGCCCACCTCCAACGCCACGTGAATGTTGGATGGAACAATTATGAAAACTTGACAATCGACACCAGCCGATTAAGCCGATAGTGGCGGTCGTCCGATAATGACTACCAAAGCAGCATTAGCCGTGTCGAATAGACCTAACGTGAGTGCTGAGAAGCAGTCTGCAGCCTGCCTCACGAGTGCCAGCAGGAGGTTTCCGGGGCAGCTTTTGATAGTCACGCACATCAACTTATGCTCTTCACTTCCCAAGCTGTGCACGTCCAAAGACTCCGAAACCAGATAACATCAACCCTGCGTCGATTACCGAAACATGGTTTCGACGCTCGACGTCCAACAACATGATGATAATGCCGGCAACATCTCCCGCCGGGGCGAAGCGAAGGAAACGTATTGGAGCTGTGCTGTACGCTCCTTCTCAATTGGGTGGGAATCAAACTCATCGCGTCGAGAGGAAAGTGGGTCAAATCGGGAATAAATCTAATTTTAGTATAGTTAAAGCTAGGGCTTGCCCGCTCAGCCCCCTAGCCTGCTTTGTGAAACTACACCCCTGCGGTCAGGGCGCGACGACCGTGACGTGTATGGATTCACGACCGGATTCCTTGAGCGTCAGGTCTTGGATTAGCGCCCATTTCGTAGGCAGAGACGGCTGGGGTCCATGATTTACATCGGTCGGGACCCCCGGGACAGTGAAGAGATCGATCTGGCCAATCAGTATCGATCTGGAGACCACAGCGCATAACAAGAACCATGTATGGCAAGGAGCCCAGAATCAGCCTGGTAGTGTTCGATGGGGCCCGCGGAGGGGCTTTCGATCAAGTGCTTGATCGGAAGGTAGAAAGGGTTCGCTGTAGGTCACAACACGGATCCGGTCTGCAGGACCGGGCCCTGACATGTCAGTCAGAGAGTCTTTTGCACAGTTTGAGGATATCCTGGGGCGATGAGAGCCTCTATTTTGGTCAGAGACTACCAACAACGAATAGCCGGCTTCTGTGTCTCGATTTGAGCTCTGGATGTCCATTTCCCAAGCAAAAATAAGGCAGGGACCCACAATTTGCATTGGTCGAAACCCATGAAACAATG